TGGCACCGGCACTGCCCTTTATTTCCATATGTCAGAGCAAGCTGTACCTTGAAGCATGCAACTGCTGAAGTCGACGCAGTTCTGTGTCACTGCACAATTAGGGCACAGCAAAACTGGGTGATTAGGTGATAGGGAATTAGGTTGTGGAGAACTGTGTGCAGCTAAATAGTTAGGAACCAGTAGGACAATGATGGGGAGGGGAGGTGGCATGGCGTAGCCCAATCTCATCAGATCTCAGAAGCTAAGCAGGGCCAGTACTTGAATGGGAGGCCACCAACGAAGACTCTACATATAAAGGCGATGGGAAACCACCTCTGCTTCTCACTTGCCTTGAAAGCCCCTTGCTGGGTCGCCGTAAGTTGGTTGCGAATTGACAGCACTTATGTAGAGACATGGGATGACGATCTATCCCTTTCATACCACTGAATGTATTGAGCTGCCTTATATCAAGTCAGGCAATTGGTCCACTGAGAACAGATTGTCCACCTAGACTAGTAGTAGCTCTTTCCCACCCTTGCTTGCAAATCACATACTTTACTAGTGAGATACCCTTCCTCACTGAGTACGCAATGGGACTGCTGAATAGTGTCTCTATGACTAATGCAGGCACTTGTACAGTCATTTTAGTATTGTGAGTCTCTTACAATGCAATCCCAAGAACAGTGTTCTGGGAGTAAACCCCATCAAATAGACTTTAGTAGGATTCTGAGACCTGCTTAGGATTTCACTGTTAGTCTATCGATAGGACTGTTCTCTACACTTTTATATCCACTCTATGAAATAAAGAATGGAAATGTTTCATGGATTTGTGCATTCTTCTGTAGGGTGTAAATGTTTTTGAAAGCCTTTTGAGTTTCATGACAATGCTCAAAGTATTAAATGGGGCATCTCTACAATGTAGGAAATCAAGTGGGAATTCTTCTTCAAGCCTTGGAGAAATGGTGTCTGGAACATTTCGAGCTACTCCCACTTCCACTGGTGAGTTTTCATGTCTCTTAAAGAGAAATAATTACAACTTGGAAACATGGTTTTGAATTGCGTTGTAGAATACAATATGTTGTGTGATTCTCCTGTACAGCCTGTATGCTTGATAGCCAGACTTATTTAGGGTTCAGGTACAAGCCTTATTAAAATAAATGGGAAGTTGTTAAAATGGTGCTTGTCTGTTTCATTACCAATAAAAATGTGTAGGTGATGCTTGATGCATGCTGTCCAACAAACATGCATAGGTGTGATATGCACAGGGGTAATAGGCATGGAGAAATCAGCATTGCTAATGAGACAGGAAACCCAGGTTTCGATTCAGTCCAGGTGGATGCCTTGTCTTGAGCTTCATTATCAATTGCAGTTCAGAAGTCTCTCTTTCTAATCTCCCTTTGATATTTCTTTGTAAGAGAACTGCTACTTTTAGATCAGCAATTGAATGCCCTAGAAGGTTAAAATGTTCCCCCATTGGTTTTTGAATGTTGTGGTTCCTCATGTCAGACTTAAGTCCATTAATTCTTTGTCAAAGGGACTGGCCTGTTTGTCCAGTGTAGAGGGTGGAAAGGCATTGTTGACACATAATGGCATAAATCACATTAGAGGATGAGCAGGAATATGAACCTGAGATGGTATGGCTGATGTTGCTGGGTCCACTAATGATGTTGCTAGGATCTATATAAGAGCAAAGTTGACATCTTGGTTTGTTGCAGGCCTTGGTACCAGAGTCCATGTTACTGTTAAGTAGTTTGTCATTGCGAGTGGTAAGTTGTTTTAGGTTAGCAGGCTGTCTGTATGCAAGAAAAGGTCACACACACACACCCCGCCCAGCCCTGAAAAGGTTGCCCTGAATGCATTCATTAAAAATCATTGCCCCTTTGGAGGAGAGTTGATGTAAAGATTCATGTTCACTAATGCTGGTCTTCAGCTTGTTTTGGCTACTATTATGTTAAATGTGCATATTTGTCTCTTGTATGATTGCTTTATGACTAAACAAAATATATTTTTTTATCTTTCAGCAAAACAGAAACAGAAAGTGGTAAGTATATTAATACTATCCTGTAGTTGCTAGAATTTGCATAGAGTGCCTGTTCAGTATTATACACTTACTGGACATTTTTCTCTCTCAGACAGAACATATTCCTCCCTATGATGTGGTACCATCCATGAGGCCTGTTGTCCTAGTTGGCCCCTCACTAAAAGGCTATGAGGTACACACTTTGATTTGCACCTATTGAACTGAACTGTCTAGCCGTCTTCAAAATATTTTAAGCAAAATGTATAATCCATTATTTGAATGTAGTAACTGCCTGTCTGGAGCTGTATCTAAAAATTGGGAGTCTCTTCAGAGCTTAACCAATATTTACCCTTTCCAAAATAGGCCAATAGCACAATGGCCAGCCCACACTTAATGGAGGGGGATAAGGGAAATCAAAGAACAGTGTGTTCAAAGTAGGTGGCCTTGCCCTAGTGGTATTTGTGTTCTCTGCTTTAAAAAAAATGTTTTGTTAATTAAAATATTTATAGACTGCCTTTCCCCATCTGGCAGACGAAGGCAGTTTTCAGAAGTCTGTTAATAAAAGTAACAAAATCATGAAAAGTGTCATACAGTCCATTAATAAAGCAGAAAATATATCCTGCTAGGAAGAGGCACATTTATCCTTTAAAGAACTATGGGAGTTTTTCAAAGCAGAAATTTGCAAGGTGATAGAGGAATCAGGATAAGGGAACAGGCTTGCTCGTGTTTGTCACTTATTTTTAATGGAACAAAATACCCCAGATCATGGGGTGGGGGAGAGTTATACAATATACTCATTTATATGAATGGGACCTAAATCAGTTTGGATCATGGCCAAAAGGTAGGGAGTCCAAAACCAAACAAAGGTTAGTGAAAAGGAGGGCCAATATTAAAACCTTTCCATAAAAAATAAAAAGAGGTACATGTATTTATTAATAATAACAAATTTTAAAACATATATAGAGGCCCATTTGCAACCAATATATATAAAATATTATATAACAATATCCAGGGCTTACAAAGTTGACCTTACGCGTTTCGGCCAAATAGGCCTTCTTCAGAGGTCATACATAAGTGGCGAGATAATTATATTTACATAAACACAATCAATAATATATACAAAGTATAAATTCAATGAGGACCATAAAGAAGATTGTTCAAAAGTAAAATCACCAGGCACAAGGTAAGTATGCACATAAGGCCTTTAAAGTGCAATCACTAGCCCAGTGATTATAAATTTGTGGTCCAAAAATGTCCTTCTTTGATTGTGTGTTGCCACAGCATTCATAAGTAAAAAGCAGTGTAGGGAGACCAGGCCTCACTTTTCTTTGCCCTCTACCACTTGGCAGTGCAATAGAGAAAAAGTTGTGGGATACTTGGTTCGTGCCAGTAGTGTGAGGCCACTTCCAACAGATACTCAGAAATTGTATCACCAATGTGATGCTCTAGGATTCAAACAAAACTCTATACAACTTTGTCCAAATCACAGAGCATCATGTCAGCATCACATGAATGATGTGATGTCACTTCCAGGTATTCACCAGAATTGGATTTGTGGCATTGATGTGATGTCTCCCCCCTCCCCCCCCCCCCCCCCCCCTTGCTGGTAGGCAGCCCTACCTAAAGGCCAAATGTTTATTGACAGTTTTTTATTGAGAACCAGAAAACAGAGACTGGTTGAGTGGGGATTCCAGCATTCAAAGAAGTGAACTCTGTTACTTAACATCCTAGCCCCCAGTTCTCATCTCTCTCTGCCCTTCCTGACCTATTTCTCTCCCCTCATTTCTGGATGATTGGTTATCACATGGTAAATGCATGGATATTATCTATTCATTACATAGGTTCCATGTGTCTTTCCTCAAGGCAACATGTCTGATTTGATGATATCACACTTTCCCAACACACAACCTGCAGTATTTTATCACCTGGAAAGCATAATTGTCCCCTATCACATCCCTTTTCTTATGCCTAACTAGGTTTTTGGCTGATGGAATTCACTGCCATGTAGGGTGGAGGCAAATAATTGTTACCAATTTTCCCCACACTGCAGCCCCCCTATTATATTGTTGATTTAAGTAGAAACTTTATATGTTTCTCTTCTAGAGACCTGCTCGAGGCAGTTCTCAAAGTAAAAACAATACAACAATAAAATCATAAAAGAAACAAACATTAAAACATAAAGGAAAAAAGTCATAAAGCTGACCAACATTAAAACCAGCTGGGAGCTCACTGGGGGCATAAGTACATAACACTTTGCTCTCTACTGTCAGGGATCCACCAGTTTCCTGGGGTAGGCGTTTTGGGAACACAGCAGGTTGCAGTAGGAAGAAAGTTCCTTTCTGTAAGTGCTGCTTTTGTAGCAGAGGATCCAGCCTATAACTATTGCAAGTGGTGTGCAGAATGTGACCACTGCAGTGTGACCCATAACGTGTAGCAGCTGTGCATCACATGACTTCTCTAGTGCCCACAATGCCTCCATTGGTTTCTGAACTTTTCTCTTTATGGTTACATTTTATTACATTTTTAAAAAGTACTAACCTCACTGACAGTGTGTACTGAAGCTAAAGCACTCTTCCAACATTTTTTAAAAGTTTGAAAAGCACTAACATAAGGAAGTCTCTTCCCTTCCACACAGCCCATCCTTTATTTTCTTTTTATATATACAAATAAACAATTTATTAACCAAGTATCTAACAATATGTGATACTTGAATCTATAAATACATATACAAAATACAAAAACATTAAAAGGAAGGAGAGAAGGAATGGAAAGAAGGAATTTCTTACAAGTCCTTCCTGCATTAGAAAAGAGCAAAGGTGACCTTTAAAACTGTAATTGAAACGAGACATTGTATCTGCAAGCGTGTCATCCACATTTTCTGATACAGCACAAATGTGGGGGGCAGAGAAAGGGCAGGACTTGGAGACTATCAGCAGCTGGACTTGAGAGGTGCTTAACTCCTTTCTGTGCCCACTAATTGTCTTCTACAAATCTCTGAGGCTCTTTTCTTCTGGCCAGTCTCACTTCTGATTCTTGAGCCCTGCTAGGTAAGAAACCTTTTGGAACTGTTCTGTCATAATTAATCAGTTGTACGTCAAGCAAACAAATTGGTTGAAAATGTCATTGTTATTTATATTGTTCTGGAATGTTAAATTTAATGACATTCACCCTACGTTTTTAAAATATTTTATCTCTGTAATTTATATTAGCATGGGTTTAGATGGGCTGTTAATTTATCTCACTGTGTATATATGTTAAAGAAACCCCCAGCTGGTAATGGATGGGAAGTTACATGCAGTGTTGAACCAGTAGGCTGGGAGGTGGTTTAAGCTGATTTTCCCCTGCCTCTGTTAGCATTGTTCATGATGGAATTTGGAATCTCCAGGCATTATTATAATGATAAATCATAACTGGGGAGTGCCCCCTTTCTCCCTAAGACCTGGCTCCAGACTGACATTTTTCTGTGAGTGCCAGGGTTTCCACCCGCAGAGTGTAGTTACCCCTTTCTCCTGTGGCAGCCTGACGCCCTCCCCCAACACACAGTTTTGTTCCTGGAGGTCCCATGGTCTCCAGGAATAGGATGCGGGGGGGAGCTTCTTTGGATGCTGTGAGATGCTGGGGAAGAGAAACACATGCTCCATGGGTGGAAATCCTTGCTCCTGTGGAAATGCTAGTCTGTATCCAAGCCATCACATTCCCTTGCAAATTGTATGCTCTCTTCCCTTGCAAATGCTCACCCAGTCGTGCTTGTTAAATTTAAATTTAAAAATTTGAACAGCAACATGGCTGTCCCCCATAGCAAGGCTTCCTCTTTTCCTTTACATTTGTTAGCTACAGGTCAGCTGTCATGCTGGTGCTGAACTTAGGCTAGTGAACATGTAATACTAAAGATAAAATCCAGGTGAGATGTATGTTTATCATCTGGAAGAATCCCAAAGCATTTCGATTAACTCTAATCCAATTTCCTCATTCTCTCCTGTGTTGTAGAGATAAAGCTCTAGATAGGATCAGGCTGCTAGATTATAATATAGACATTATAATATTAGATGTTTCCCGTGTATGAAGCTTATGCTTCTACATAGGCCCTAGGTGGTCACAGATAAAAACCAGAGGCCATGACTGAGAAGTATTGTATTTGTTGTGTTATGAACTGACATTTAGCAGAGTTCTCATTTTCAGCTTTTCAGTTAAAATTGTGTTTTTGCTTAGGGATAAAATATGTCTTCAAATGCTTGTTGACTTTATTGGGTCTTGTACAGCTTGTTCAGTTAAAAGCCCACCTGATTTAATTAAATATATATATTAAGGACTGCTACTTAAGTTCTCCTTCTCTATAAGAGATAGTTAAGGAGAAAAACCTGGCTTACGTTTCATGGGACCAACTAATGTGGTGTCACGAAACTGGCATATATCTTGCCACTCCTTGCACGGAATGTGGAGTTTTCCTGCTTTCCTCTCTGTTACCACAGTCCCTTTCAACCCATAGAAAGATCATTCCCAAGGCCACAGGACCTGTACGGAGGAGTAGCCGGACAAACTGGGGGTGGGGCGGGCTGGAGAGAGGAAGGAGAAGAGGGTGAAATTGTTTCTCCTTCCAAGTGCAACTCTGCTGAAGGAAGGAGCTGATTTCATTCCCTTATCTCTTTTCACTCCAGCCCACTGATCTACACAATTGACCTCTTTTCCTGCTTGACTCCATGCATTGATGGACATTGCTCAACTGCTTTGCCACCTGTAATAAAAAGAAGTTTTGTATTAATATTGATTGTTTTAGTATGCTTTTATCTCATAGATACAGAGCTTATTTGGTATAAAAATTTTCAGTACACGAACATCCAATGTTTATGTTCTGCTAAAGATGGAGCCAGATTCTGCTAGTGGAAAGAACACAGGATGTGTCTCTTCTGTCCGTGGGATGCTTCTTGCATCAGAGGAAAGCTCCACTATTTGTGAAACAGAAACATTGGATCCACCTGAAATATACATTAAATGCCTGCCAGTGAGGCATAGTGAATAGAATATGGGATAGAAAAATCTTAGTGCAAGTTCTTCTTCATCTAAACTTTCTTGCAGGCATTTCATATAAAAATGATAAGCCGCATATGCAGCGATGATGGAAAGACCCAGCCATAGAGAGTGTGCGTGCACATGCACACACATCATAAATATAAGAGGTGGATATTAAAATGACTATAATTCAGACAAAAAAATAAAGCCTGCACCTGTAAAAGCAACGTTTCTGAAACAGGAACAATTGCCTGCAAGAACAGCAGATGCTCTGTGGTTGTTCAGACTAAGGGCACATCTTGTGAAGGGCGAAACCCTCCTGCTACCCTCTAATGGTGACAATTGATAAAACTCTCAGAAAATTCATTTTAATTCATACCTTAATCCCCCCCCCCCCCAATACACACCCTTCCTTCTCCACAGGTCAAAAATCCTAATCAGACTCAATCCTGACCTCTAACCCCCTTAAATTTTCTGTTGGTTTCTGGCAAGGTTTAGAGGTGGATATAATAACAGGGATGGATTGCCATAATGTTTCACTAAACCCATTCTATTCTTGTGTAAATGAAGATAGCAGAGCAAATGACATATGGGTGGTCTTCCACTTGTCAGATGTTGGGATGAATCAGAAAACCTGCAGCCACTTGCTGCAATGTGTCTAATTGTGTCAGTGCAGCTAGAAATGATCTGACAGTCTGCGTTTAAAGGAGAGCTAACCTACGGGCAACATTGCAGTGCAAACATTTATTATTGGTGTAAACGGCAATGTCCTTACTTTCCACTTTTTTTCTTACTTTGGGCTTCTCTCTCTCTCTCTCTCTCTCTCTCTCTCTCTCTCTCTCTCTCTCTTGTCCATCTTCTTTCCTCCATCTTCCTCATCCCTGACAAGGTGACAGACATGATGCAGAAAGCCCTCTTTGACTTCTTGAAGCACAGGTTTGATGGGAGGTGAGAAAAATAAGGTTCTTCTTCATGTCCCCATGTGTTAAATAATTTTTCTCCTATTCCAGATGACGTCAAATGTATATTTCAGTACTGTGTGCACGCGCATATTTGCTTGACATTAAAATATAGCTATATCTTGGCTTTTGGCAATCCTGCTACCTGGTGACTCTACAATCTATCACTGCACAGAATCTGTTCTGTTAGGGATTCAGCAGTGTAGGTGGGCTAGAACTTCATGGCTTTCTGTAGTAGCTAAAATCAGACATAGATTGTTGTAGGTACCTTATTATTTGATGCCTGTTTGGTAGGAGAGGTGGCTTCATGCCTAATGGTTTCATAACATAGGCTGGACTTCTGCTCCCTGTCACCTCGTCTTCTGCTTTTTTACTGCTTCATTTAAGCTTCTTTTCCTGAATGTTCTCTTTCCCACAAGCCGTGCCCTACTCTGTTTACCTGGGTAGTTTTCTGTCCCTCTAACAGCAGTGCTACACTTCCGAGTTGGGAAAGAGAAGAAAAGAATGGCTCTCTAGAGGAGATGTACATTTCCTAATTTGAATTTTAGTAAATACTCTTTTGGCAACTGCTAGACCCCAGACAGTGCCCAAGATGCTTACCTGGTAATGGTCACAACCAAACAAAGAGAGAATCACAGAAACAGCTATCACAAATAAGAACAAACCATGACAGACTAATAATAATTACTTCCAAAAGCATTTTGGTAATTTTATATAATTTCCACTTAAATACTGCAAAACATGCCAAGTTATTCAGTGTGTAGCATAGAAAAATACAATCTCTATTTGATATTAATTCAAAAAGATTCACTCAATAGTGTTAAGCCCTTATTACAAAAATTAATAAAAGGGAAGAGTCTTCTAAGGAGTAAGGGAGGCATTCAATATACACAAATCATAGCAGCTTCAAATCCTGTTGAGAAGCGTCCTGCATTCAAATCAAAGCAGCTTCAAGTCCTGTTGGTAACGGTCCTGTGACACAGATGCCTGCTTGAAGCTGTGTTTCAACAGACTTCTTCACGGCAGGAAAAGCACATCACATTCCTTTCACTATTGAAAACATGTCAAGAAATTTAAACAAAGTTACATCTCCGATCCTGCATCATTTTACAAAGCTTTATGGAAACATACTTACAGTTGATAGCTGCAAAACGAACATAAGAAAATTTCTGATGCTGCTCCATTCCATGAAAGTTGGTAAAGCGACAGACTCCTATAGCAAATATTTTAAACACACCCAAAGATCATGCACAATAGCTGGAAATACCATAACATTTGCAGTCTTAATGGGAAAACATCCTGGCATAACTGTAACTCAAACAACCTTAACTCATACAACTCATTTCAGGTGACTCTGGATGCCAATGCACATATGTGACAATGTCTAAGGCCTGCATTTAGGACTTAGGAAACACTACTATGAGTACCGGGTAAGGAAGAGGCAAAGGGGTGGCAGCAAGGACACCTCACAAGATGTCAGGCCTTGAGTTTTCCATTACAAACACTGCATCTTTGAAAAGATTCTCGAGTGCTACTCAAGAAACAAGATGTCAGGGAACACAGGTGTCATCCCAAGGCACTATCCCCTTCCTCAACACAATCTTTACCAGGTTGTGCCACCTAAGATGAAAGGAGCTGCGGTGGCTCAAGTGGTTAAGACGCTGAACTGCAGGCTGTGGAAGGTCGGTAGTTCAGCAGTTCAAGACCCGAGTGTGCCGTATGATGGAGTGAGCTCACGTCTCTAGTTCCAACTCCTGCCAACCTAGCAGTTCGAAAGCAAGAAATTGCAAGTAGATAAATAGGTACCACTTCGGTGGGAAGGTAACAGCGTTCCGTGCGCCTTGGTGTTTAGGCCACGTGACCACGGAAACGTTTTCGGACAGCGCTGGCTCTTAGGCTTTGAAACGGAGATGAGCACCGCAACCCTAGAGTCGGATTCGACTGGCTTTCGAGCAAGGGAACCTTTACCTTTACCACCTAAGTTCAGTTGAATGTTGAGTTAGTTTAAGTAGAAATCATAAAACGCTTCTAAGGGCAAGTTCCTCAATGTGTACATGTGTGCTTAGAATTGGCAGTAACTAGAAATATAAAGGACAAGTAGGGGACCCACAAGACTTGTGGAGGGATCCTATCCTCCCTCCCAGCTTGTTTACCGGGCCAGTCTCTTGCCAGCTAGCCTGCCTGCAGCATAGCCGCCTCCCCCTACCTGGATCACATGAATGGTCAGCAATGGGTGGTGGGGCAACCTCCCCCACCCTGTCTACCTGCAGTACCACCACTTCCACCAGCCTGGCTCCTCCCTCCTGGCGATAAACTCGGAGTGTGAGAATCCTGGCAGGCGTGCTCTCCACTGCTGCTCCTCTCACGCACTCACTTGCTCACCTGCCCCCTCCTCCTGCTCTGCCTGGTGCCCACCTACCTGCCTCTCCCCCTGCCCCTGCACTGATCTGCCTACCCTCCTGGATGCCCTGTGCTGCTGCTGCATCTACTCACTGCCCTTCACTTAATCATTCACCCATCTTCCTGGCTTATCCTTTCTCAAAATGGCTACTGAGACCTCACAAGAAAATGTTGCAGCATCTTGGCGGGGGGGGGGGGGCTCTTTAAAAGTCTCCTGACTTTTCCCTTTCATTTTCAGATTGTTTTGCAAAGATGGGTGTTCCATCAGGTGTGCAGGAAAATCTTTTGTTTCCCTATATGGTCCTAATCTCTGGATCTAAGGATCCTTAGCCGGGGCCATATTGTAAATTACATAAAATGACAAGCGGGGAACTCACAAGGACTTGCAATAGTCATCTCATTTCCCTCTCCCCCACTATTTTCTCTTTCCTTTTCCTGAAAGCTACCATAGCCTATCCCCTTTTCTTGTCTCCTTCTCTCCTTTCCACCCATAAGCCAACCTTCTTCTATCTGTTCCCTGTCTTCAGCTTTTCCTCCTTCCCTGCCCCTGGCAGCATCTCCCCAGGAAAACTGTCTGAATTGCACAGTATTGGCAGCACGGTAGGGAACCTGCAAGAAGTATAGGAGTGGATCTCATTTCCCCTGTATCCTCCTCCCAACACTATTTCCTTTTTACCTGCTCCAGGCTTCCACCCATATCTTCACCTTTCCCTCCTTCCTTCTCTCCTTCCCACCCACCCACCCACCAACTTACTTTTATCTGCCCTGCCCCCATCTACAGCTATATGTATTATTTATTTATTTCATACCCCGTCTTTATCCACAATGACTTTTGTGGGGTTTTTACTGTTGAACAGTAACAAGCAGTCAGTCCTGGATGAGTCACGCAAATCACATGGTCCATCAGTGGATATTAGCCACAAGGTATAGATAGGGGCTCTGGGGCAAGTGATGCTCTGTCTTCTTGGTGCTTGGGGGGGTCAACAGTGGGAGGGCTTCTAATGTCCTGGCCCCACTGCTGGACCTCCTGATGGCACTGGTATTTCTGGCCACTGTGTGACACAGAGTGTTGGACTGGATGGGCCTTTGGCCTGATCCAACATTGGCGTCTCTTATGTTCTTATGTTCTTACGTTCTTATGTTCTTATGTTCCTGGTGGTTGCTGCCAGGTCTGGCCTCACTGAGTGCTCCCTCAACAGTCAAAACAGCCCTGGAAAGGGTCTTACCTCTGCCTCTGTCTCTTACTAAGAAAAACCAAGGCTTGAAGACTTGCAATACTGTTATTGTCAGCAACCCCCACAATAGCCACTGGCATTCGTTTCTTAAAGCTATAGGCACTTCCTCTGTTTTTTGTGGGTGTTAACTCTCTGGTGTTTCTCTTTGTTTTTAGATTTCAGATTTTTTTGTACACCTGAGGCTTTTTCCAGGTTTATACATCTATCTTGTCTGTTCATGGCTCCAATCTCTGGATTTAATATCCATAGATTTGGCCATGTTGAGAATTAGATATATTGATTATGTTTAAATTTTGTTCGAATGTGTGAATACATGTTGTTCAGGTCACATACCCCTGATCTAAAATATCTGACACTAAGAATTTATGAGCTTTGAGGTCACCAAAGTGCAGCAGCATGTGTCTTGACAAAGAGGGGAGGTTGGTATATACCAGCCTCCAGTCTGCAGCTGTCACTTAGTAGGAGCAGCCAGGAAGTGCACACCGCACACCTCTTTGAATCCTCCCTGCCTATGTTTCGTATTAAATTAATAACAATCAGTAAGGGGGAGGGGACAAAATAAGGAGAGTGCCACTTTCCAATCCCAAATGGAGTAGGTTCACAAATGAAATTTTACTGACTTCCCTTTTCCAGAGCATCCCCCCCCCCCAATGCTCTCTGATAAGTTGCTGCTGAGAATCAAGGGACTCTCCAGAAGAAGAAGAAGAGGAGGAGGAGGAGGAGGAGGAGATTGGATTTATACCCCGTCCTTCACTTGGAGTCTCAGAGCGGCTTACAAACTCCTTTCCCTTCCCCTCCCCACAACAGACACCCTGTGAGGTGGGTGGGGCTGAGAGAACTCTGACACAAACTGCTCTTTTTCAAGGACAGCTGTGCCAGAGCTTGTGAGTGACCCAAGGTCACATCAGCAGGTGCAAGTGGAGGAGTGGGGAATCAAACCCGGTTCTCCCAGATTAGCGTCCGCACACTTAACCACTACACCAAACTGGTGTATGCCAGAACAATATGCCATGTACTGGGGGCTGCAGTGAGAAGAGTGGATTGTTCGGAATCATACCCCTCACAGACTTTGTGCTGCTCACACAAGATTGGGTGAAGGTTAGCTGATTACTCATTCTTCCTGAAGGCCCCCCCACCCCTTCAGCAGTTACCAGCAGGCACTACACAAAACAACCATACTCTGAGAGGTTATGCCCATGTGGCAGTGGGACAATAGTAGGGTTGTCAGGTCCTACTTGGCTGCCGGTTGGGGGACTCCCAATCCTTCCTTTTCTTCTGGTGCATGTGCAAAGTGTGCACATCGCTATGACATCACCCAGAAGCGACATCATTGCATTTCTGACGTTGGGGGCAA